TCATGAAACTTCGATAAAGATGAATATTCTCTTACGACGCTTCGCATTCATGATGTAGCTTTCCGCTTAAATATCTATATATCTATCTATCTTCTACAATGTGTGAACATTTTCAGATAATTATTGAAATTTAACTGAATTCATAATATAACGAGCATTGGTATAAGTTCACTGCAAAAGTTAAATTGAATAAATAAACTGATCAGTCATCAGTATATTAGTAAAAATATCGGTCTACCGTGGGTTTGGACAGGAGAGAAGCCATAATCTACACCCACACTTCACATTGAATCTCAAGCTGAAACCAGTTTTAGAAGAAAGGGTACATTGAATTATGTATCCTGAAAACAAATCTCGTTGTTGCATTCGTATTAAATTTGACTTCACTAGACGAGAGAAAAAACATTATTATTTGTAGCAAGATGATTCAATAAGATATTGGTGGTTTTTGGCATTCTTCGATAGAAAAAAAAATGTTGATAGACATTAGTTACAAGAAGATTATCGAGACTGTCAGAAGTGCTTCGAATCCTTTTCATTTTTTTCAGTAGCTTTAAAAACAAATTATCTTTTTATTTTGATTTTGAAATCACCACTCGAAAATGTTCACACATTGTAGAAGATAGATAGATATATAGATATTTAAGCGGAAAGCTACATCATGAATGCGAAGCGTCGTAAGAGAATATTCATCTTTATCGAAGTTTCATGACAAACATTAAAAACAATGCATATTGATAAGGAGAAACAAATTCACTTTTATATTTGTAATTAGAACACTGGTTTCTATCCAGATAGAAATAGATTTAAATTCTAGGAGACCTTAGCTGGAAATAAATGACTTATTATATAGTAGAAAGTTAGATTGTAAGTAATACACGGAGTTCAATGAGAATTTTCAGTTTAATAAAATTGAAATAAGATTTTTGGGACTTCAAGATAGTAATTTAACACATATTCGTTAAAGCAAAGAAACAATCAGCATGTCAGTCTTCAATCATTTGATGTAATTTCTGCATCGTGTCATCACGCAAATTTTCCAAGATGTCTATTGAAATGAGAGGAGCAGCTCCAACGTACATAATTGTCAAAATTCCATTAACAGTTTGTAATGTAGCAAACGGCATAGCTCCTTTAATCATGTTAACGAAAGGAGTCATTGCTGCAAGTTTCCATCTTCCATAGTCTTCAGAAAATGATAAAACACCCCAACTAGAGATTCCACAAGTAGGAAGTTCGGAAAAATTGGGCGGACCTAAAGTCTTCTGAAAGATTTTCCCCATGATCATGCCAAGAGCGAGAATTTGACCAGCGTTGACTGATGTCTTTACAAAGTCTCCGAATATTTTTGCCAGTTGCCACATGCCTTCGGAGGTCGCTGGTATATCTCTTGTGGGTATTATGAACGGAAGAATACCTGATACTTGATAACTAAGATCGTGGTTAGAAATGGGTGGTACACATCGTCTTCGAGTATCAGCTCCAATGGACATGCGTAATGCAGATGGACGATCGTCTTCGGATTTTACGTGCATAGAAGCAGCGCATAGAATAGCACTGCTAACAGCAGATGTTACAGTTACGCCTTCGTGGTGACATTTTTCTACAAGTTTTTGCGTTTCTTCCTTGTTTAACATACTATAGCAGCTTTCAGTATGACAATAATCGCACATATCAGTTAATGGAAAGNTTGCATGAACTGAAGTAATCATTCATAATGTATATTTATTTAGATGAATTTGCACAAAATTTAATCGTTTTTTTATTGAACAATTCCATAACATGCCTTAACAGAATAGTGATTCGGAAAACGTACGATGCGTAACGTTTGTTTTTTACACAAATTCATCTAAACAAATATACATTATGAATGATTACTTCAGTTCATGCAAAGATGAGGCTCTTGAGTTATATGTCGGTTGATTACAACCATTAACACACGTGATAGTTCGTAAAAAATTTTCATCTTGTGAGAGAATGCAAAATTTAAGTGCTGTCTTTTAAAACGAGCTGCTTGCCCATTCATTGGCCATATACTTTGAAGTAATTATTTATATATGAGAAGTAACATCTACACGTCAAAATTTCTTTAACAATTTATCAATGTTGGTAACTCATCGAGCGATATAAAGATATTCGACTTCACTTTTACAAACACTTGATCAAAAAAGCCAAAACAAATGATGAGAGAACTCAATTTAATTCTTTTGTAATTATTTCAAGCATCCGTTTTTAATAAAACACTATCGCAAACGATGATTATGATCAAATTATTTTAAACTATCTTATTTTCTTAACATTTAATTCTTGTTTCTTTTATAGATTGTATTACCATTTTCGATACAAAATCTCAAAGAAAACCTTAGCACAAAAAAATTGAATTATATCTTTTTTATAATGAACCGGTCTTAAAGATATTCACGATTTATGATTATTAACAGGAGTGGAGATGATGTAAGATCATATAATATAGTAATAATTAATCAAAATAATTTCTTTTTCTTTCTTTATTGATCAAAACCATATTAATATTCCACAACCATCCTCATCAACAACAATATGCAACTCTTCATTTAGTGACAATACGATAGCGTAGACGTTCGATGAATAAAGAATGTTTCGTGTAAACCAAATGAATGTCATAACTAAGGTAGTTATCATAGCGACGTCGAAAGCAAAAGCCAAAGTCAGTGACTATCAATGCTGTCTCTGCAATTATTTCACAACTTGTATCATCTAGTGGATTAAGAATATCATATAAAATCACACGCAAAGACTTTAACGCAGGTAAAGCTGAGAGTGTACGTAAAGCGATTCAATCACCATTTGTAAAAATTAAGGCATTCATGATGAAGAAGAGTAGCAGATGATGAAATATTGTCTGACATATTCAATTTAACAAGACGGGAAAACGCAATTGTTTTAGTTGGAGAAGTTAATGTAAACACTTGTAATTCATTAATACATCTAACTGGAATATATAATTGAAAAAATTCATTGAAGACCCACGACAAGGTGTAAAAGAGATGTTGTCAATTTTTCAGTTGTTCCCACTAAAAAAGAAATCAATCAGATTCAATGAAAGAACACTTTACTGTTGAAATGACCCATAAAAGTTATGCAAAGCGAGATAACTTACGTAATCTTCACCAGGAGTTGTGAATGGCTGATTATCAGGCTAAGATTCAGCAATAAATGTTGCACTAGCTATTTGTCGTGAATGAGATTGACTAGCAAATGGTATATATTTAATAAATTCACTATGTGATCGATAATGAATGCATAATGAACATCAACATGACGACAATCAGTGAAGAGAGCTGAATAATTGATGTCATTCAGATCATCAGCATTAATGACAATAGAAAAATTCATTCGTTGTAAAACAGGCATAACACTAGAAGAAGTCAAAATGTCTACAAATGTCCATTCTTCTCTATATTTAGCGCCATTTGAACGACTTCACAAAAGTAAAAGTGTGCAAGGCTTCCATTCGAAGTGAAAGCTTTGCAGCGGATATATCAATATGCGAACTACTCCAATCGTTATTCAGTTTTACATGAAATTGTTGCAATGTATGTGGCAATGGTTGTGTTAACATCAGGGTGTGGGTGTGGGTGTGGGTCACCAAGAAAAGAAGACCATACACATACCCACACTTTTCTGTTCTCCTAGGGCCGGACCCTGTCATGAGCATGGTCGAATTTAGTATCATTCGATAGATCTCGTTGAGTTCTATCTGGCACAACTTTCAAAATGAATATTTGGTCGTTTTAGTGTACGAAACGCATGGATATCCTATTGCTTTTTTCCTAGGGCGCGCCCATGATGATAGAAATGGTCATATTTTGTGTCATTTGATAGATCTTGTTGAGTTCTATCTGGCACAAGTGTCGTTTCAATTGGCACAGCGTTCAAAATGAATATTAGGTGGAAATAGTGATGTTTTAAGGGAAAACTAGTGTTCTGAAACTAGTTTTTTGAGTTTTTCAGGCATTGTGCACGATGGAATTTTTTTGAAATCTAGGCAATCCGTAGTATATTCGATGCTCTATCTGGCACAATAACTTTTTTTTTGGCACAAGTCCCTGAGCGAATATTTCCCAAAAACACTCGAATCTGCTACTAACTTTACTTGCGTCATTTTTCTTTATATAATTTTAATTTATTTACTATTGAACGTGATGAATCAATTCATATTGACATACGATTTAGATTTTTTTTGTTGTATATAATGGCAATCGATATGTCGGACTATTATTAATAAATTGTTGTTCACGATGTTTATTATTATTAGTATTATCTAAAAATAGATCTGGTCGTTGTTCAGCATCAACAAGTAAACTTTGTTTAAGATAGATAGGTAAATATTTAATGATATTATTAAGCCATTTTGTATAGAGTTCTTCATATTCTATAAGTGCAATGCCTATTGCCATAAATGGATGTTTTGCAATTGTACCTTGTTCGAATTGAAGTAATCGATCAATTGAACGAAATTTAATCATTGGAAGTTTTATACGTGTAAATAAATATGGTCAAACTTTATAAAAAAACATTTTTTTTCGTAAAAAAGTCTTTCTGTCTCCTAAAAAAAAGGAAAAAGCAAAATTTCAAAAGGTGCGATATTTTTTCCTATTTTCCAAAGCCAGCAAAATGTTTATAAGTGACACCGAATTTGTCGAATTTTTCTTAAACCTGAAAATGATTGAAACTTCGAGTGCGATATGGTTTTCGTTTCAAAATTTAACAAAGATTGCGTACCCAAATGCATAACCTTTAGAGTTCGGCGATATACCTTCTTTTTGTACAATTTGCTTTCACTGAGGAAGAAGTAATAGTGAAAATGCATTCTTTAGAAAAAAGAAAAAATTGAATCGACACTTACCTTTGCCTTTTTTGTATTTGAAAAACTAGTTTTTCTCTGAGACCTGATTCATTCAGATATTCATACTGTCTTCTCTTCCATCATTTGCGTTGCATGCATTTTTTGAACGAATGCATTATTGATAATTCCACACTAACTTGGAAAAACCTACTCTCTTATCATAAGAAATCAGCAATCGTTATCAACATAAAAAACTGAGTTCATCATTCAAATAGAATATTTTCTCCTATCGCGATCAGCTCATATGGAGAAAAAAAATACATTTTTTTCATCACTGTACTTTCAATATATCATTCATTCGTCTAAACTCAAAACCATGTGAATGTAAATATTTGCCACTTTTCTTCGTTTTTTTCTTGCTTATTCATCACTATAGAACATCATTCTTAGAGGTGAGCACCCCACTTTTAATGCAATAGGCAGAATAACGTATAATCGACTTGTGTATGTCATTTAATTAACAAACATCAGTCATCTATTATCTAGTTGATATTTTCTTCTCTTGAAAGTGGTTGATACAAAAGTTCATTATAATAGAACAAAAGTCCCAGAGTATCGACAAGCTAATCTCTAGGGTTGTTTCTCAGAATTTAACGTTATATTTTTGTTCATTCTACATATCAAGTAATTTTTTCTCCACAAGAGTTCTCTTATCAAACCTTATTTTTCTCATAGGCAATGTCCAATCTAGAATTCAACTAAAATATAGTTTGGATTCTAATACGATACAAAATATTTGAATAGTGATTGATTTTTTAGATATCAGCGGAATAGTGCTGTCACTCGATTATGGTAAAAATCTTGCTTTTTAATCTAGAAGAAGCCATATTAGAGTACGAACGTGGTAGCATGTGAACTTGCAACAAAATGCATGTCATATTTTGTCAACATCTTTTCGAGAATTATTCAAAAAAAAAGAGAAAAGGCGCAAAACGAGACCCAATGAGATCTGATGCTCTCTTTTTTTTCTAGCTGAGAGAACTTAGACGTGAATAATTGAATTTTTATAAAGTATAAAGTGAACTGGTGAAAATTGAGCATGATTCAATAGTAATTCTCAAGCTAATAAAATTCGAATCAGATTTTTAGGACGCCAAGGTAGTAATTTAGTACACATTTTTTTTATAGCAGAAAGATAGTCAATATATCAATCTTCAATCATCTGATGTAATTTCTGCACTGTGCCATCACGCAAATCTTCTAAAATGCTTATTGGAATGAGAGGTTCGGCTCCAACGTACGTAATTGTCAAGACTCCATTGACAGTTTGTAACATAGTGAATGGCATGCCTCCTCGAATCATGTTGACAAAAGGAATCATAACCACAAGTTTCCATCTTCCATAGTCTTCAGAAAATGGCAAAACACCCCAACTAGAGATAGCACAAGTAGGAAGTTCGGCAAAATTGGGTGGGCCTAAAGTCTTCTGGAAGATCTTTCCCATGATCATACCAATAGCAAAAATTTGACCAGCATTGATTGACGTCTTTAGATAGTCTCCGAATGCTTTTGCAAGTTGCCACATGCCTCTGGAAGTTGTTGGTATATCTCTTGTAGGCATTATAAACGACATAATACCTGATACTTGATAACTAAGATCGTGATTAGAAATGGGTGGTACGCATCGTTTACGAGTATTGGCTCCCATGGATATGTGTAATACGGATGGATAATCTTCTTCAGATTTTACTAGCCTAGAAGCAGCGCATAGAACGGCACTGCTAACAGCAGATGTTACAGTTACATCTTCGTGACGACATTTTTCTAGCAGCTGTTGTGTTTTCTTCTTGTTCAACGTTCCATAACAGATTTCAGTATGACAGTTATCAGCCATATCACTTAAAGGAAAGTCGACATTAGCTATTGGTATTCTTGCAATATTCCATCTATTGGTTGCACGTAGGTATAAAGCTGCGAAGATAAATCTGCCTAGTGTAATCACTTTGCTTACTATTGAGAGACTTCTTTGAATTGCCGTCTCCATAGTTATTGGCCAACTTAATGAATTAGCAAACATATTGTCATTTTCACCAGATAGAGCTATGAGGAGCTCGTGTGCCACAGCACTCAAGGATAAACCATCACAAACACTGTGCTCACATATGATTACTATTTCTCGTGGACTATTGTCATTGTTGTCATCCTCTGGATCCTACAACAGCAATAAATAATGATATCATGTATCTAGTATTGCTATCAGATATATGAAACATAGTTTGAGAAAGAGGTATCAACCCTTGTGTACCTGTAGAAGCCAAAATTCAGCAAGTCCTTGACCAATATCAGTTGTTTTTTTCTCTTGCTCACGCCATTCTTGATGCCAGAATGTCAGATGATCGGTATGCTTTCGCGATATTTCTCGAATCTTAAGTTGAAGCATATCATCTTCTTCTAGTAGATAGCTGTCTGATTTTTTAGGATTGATCTGGAGACGGCTTCGTAGAACAGGATGACGACGTTGCAGAAGGCCAATTGCTGCAGAAAATGTTTCCAAAGAAATATGAGGCCCATGAAGGTGCAAGACTTCGCCAACTTTCATGTATCCTTGATGCTGCTGCGACGTCTGCATCAGAGCATTTTCTGCTGAACCAAGCAACCGTTGTTTTTTGTTAACAACAGAAGAATCATTTGGTCGAAACCAGGAAAACATCTGTTCGCAAGAGAATGGATGAGAGAAAATTATGTTATCGAATTTCGCTGACTACGGTTGCAAAATTTTATGAAGAGACAAACTCAATCGATTACATATTCATTATAAGACCTGAATATTTTTAAATTTCGTGGGCAAAGAATTTTAAAAATATTTTGAAATAAAAAAAAAATTATGTTCGAGTTTTTGTTTACAATTTAATACCATAAGACGCACAATGAATAATTGCTTTGTTAAGGGCTGACTCAATTCTCTCACACTTCAAATCATGAATTACTTAAGTCGAGGTCGAATATAATCGACAGCTGAAGTACTTACTTTTAATTCGAAAAAAACTGAAAAAAATTTAATAGGAACTATCATGTAGAAATACTAAATAAACTAAAGATATATTTTATCCCATTTATAATATGAATCTCAACTAGAAAGTCATGCAGACATTTATTGAATTAGTTTTGAAATAGTAGATAAGACACAAGTTTTGTTCATTAGTTCAATTTTACTTTCGAGAAACATATGTGAAGCTTATTTCGATTCAACATGTGAACACGATTATTATTTTGATATTGTTTTCATGAAGACTATCTTGAAAGGAAGATATGAGAGCTGAAAGGATAACAGAAGGTGTATCTATAAAGTGAGGATGAAAACGCATGGGTTACGCTCAATTTCCTCTGTTGCATTCATTAGAATGATGATTGAGATCAGGTACATAGTTCCCTTCATGAGTTTTAGCCACGTGTTCTCGTTATTGAATAGATGGTCTTTGAAGAACTTTCGCAATGACTGAATTCCATGTAAACTCATTTGAAATATAAAATTTCTAACTGTGAAGTATGTCTGAACATGGAGAACAAAAATATTATTGTTCAAGACGCAACATCTCTGTTTTGATGGTTTATTTAATTACTTCGATAGTTGCATAAAGTTTCAATCGTTCAGTCCATTTCTTTGTATTTAGAACATTGCAAAAAAAACTTTTGTGCATGCTAATGTGATGCTCATAGATAGGGATGCAACGGTGACGATTAGTCACCGTTTGATCGTAGCAATCGGTAACCGCTTCAGCGGAAACCGCTCCACCGGTAACCGGTGTGAACCGGTAACCGTTTCACCGGTAACCGGTGTAAACCGGTAANTCTAATTACAAATATAAGAGTGAATTTGTTTCTCCTTATCAATATGCATTGTTTTTAATGTTAGCCATGAAACTTCGATAAAGATGAATATTTCCTTACGACGCTTCGTATTCATGATGTAACTTTCCTGAAAATAAATCTCGTTGTTGCATGCGTATTAAATTTGACTTCAATAGACGAGAGAAAAAACATTATTTGTAGCAAGATGGTTCGATACGATATTGGTGGTTTTTGGCATTCTTCGATAGAAAAAAAAATGTTGATAGACATTAGTTACAAGAAGATTATCGAGACTCTCAGAAGTGCTTCGAATCCTTTTCATTTTTTCAGTAGCTTTGAAAACAAATTATCTTTTTATTTTTATTTTGAAATGAACACTCGAAAATGTTCACACATTGTAGAAGATAGATAGATAGATATTTCAGCGGAAAGTTACATCATGAATACGAAGCGTCGTAAGGAAATATTCATCTTTATCGAAGTTTCATGGCTAACATTAAAAACAATGCATATTGATAAGGAGAAACAAATTCACTCTTATATTTGTAATTAGAACACTGGTTTCTATCCAAATAAAAATAGCTTTAAATTCTAGGAGACCTTAGCTGTAAATAAATGAATTGTTATAAAGTAGAAAGTAAGATTGTAGGTAATACACGGAGTTCAATGAGAATTTTCAGTTTAATAAAATTGAAATAAGATTTTTGGGACTTCAAGATAGTAATTTAACACATATTCGTTAAAGCAAAGAAATAATCAGCATGTCAGTCTTCAATCATTTGATGTAATTTCTGCATCGTGTCATCACGCAAATTTTCCAAGATGTCTATTGGAATGAGAGGAGCAGCTCCAACGTACATAATTGTCAAAATTCCATTAACAGTTTGTAATGTAGCGAACGGCATAGCTCCTTTAATCATGTTAACGAAAGGAGTCATTGCTGCAAGTTTCCATCTTCCATAGTCTTCAGAAAATGGTAAAACACCCCAACTAGAGATTTTACAAGTAGGAAGTTCGGAAAAATTGGGAGGACCTAAAGTCTTCTGAAAGATTTTCCCCATGATCATGCCAAGAGCGAGAATTTGACCAGCGTTGACTGATGTCTTTACAAAGTCTCCGAATGTTTTTGCCAGTTGCCACATGCCTTCGGAGGTCGCTGGTATATCTCTAGTGGGTATTATGAACGGAAGAATAACTGATACTTGATAACTAAGATCGTGGTTAGAAATGGGCGGTACACATCGTCTTCGAGTATCAGCTCCAATGGACATGCGTAATGCAGATGGACGATCGTCTTCAGATTTTACGTGCATAGAAGCAGCGCATAGAATAGCACTGCTAACAGCAGATGTTATAGTTACGCCTTCGTGGTGACATTTTTCTACAAGTTTTTGCGTTTCTTCCTTGTTTAGCATACTATAGCAGCTTTCAGTATGACAGTAATCGCACATATCAGTTAATGGAAAGTCGACATTGGCTATGGGTATTCTTGCAATACTCCATGTATTGCTTGCGCGCAAGCGTAGAGCTGCGAGGATAAATCTGCCGAATGTAAGCAGTTTGCCGACTATGGAGAGACTTCTTTGAATCGCTGTTTCCATTGTTATTGGCCAACTCAATGAATTAGCAAACATATTGCCATTTTCATCCGCTAAAGCTATGAGGACCTCATGTGCCACATTGCTCAAGGATAATCCATCGCAGACACTATGTTCACATATGACTACTACTTCCCGTGGACTATTGTCATTGTTGTCATCCTCTGGATCCTACAAGAGCAATAAATAGTGATATCATCTATTTACATAGTATCGCTATCAATAGCACAAAGCAGAGTTTGAAAAACCTGTATCAACTCTAGTATACCTGTAGAAGCCAAAATTCAGCAAGTCCTTGACCAATATCGGTTATTTTTTTTTCTTGCTTACTCCATTCTTGACGCCAGAATGTCAGATGATCGGTCCGCTTTCGTGGTATTTCTCGTATCTGAAGTTGAAGTGTATCATCTTCTTCTAGTAGAAAGCTATCTGGCTTTTCAGGATTGATCTGAAGACGGCTTCGTAGAACAGGATGACGATGCTGAAGGAGACCTATAGCCGCAGACAATCTTTCAAGAGAAATATGAGGTCCACGAAGATGTAAGACTTCACCAACTTTCGTGTATCCTTGATACTGTAGCGATGCCTGCATCAGAGCATTTTCTGCTGAACCAAACAATCGTTGCTTTTGGTTAGCAATAGACGAATTGTTTTGTCGAAACCAGGAAAGCATCTTTTCCTAAAGAGAATCGATATACGTATGAATCAGCTAATTAAAGAAATAGACAAGAGAAAATTGACTTTTTCAATTTCGAAAACAGAACATCATATTAGCTGTTTAAGCTGACTAAAGTGATAACATTTTGTGAAGCATCAAACTGAATCAATTTTATATTCACTATATCATATCAATACTTTAGACACTTCATAGGCAAAAAATTTTAAAACTATTTTAGGCAAAGATATGAAGCTTCGAAATAAAAAAAATTAGTATATTCGAGTGTTTGTTCGCAATGCAATATCATAAGACTCACAATTAATAACCGCTTCGTTTGGAACCCATTCAGTTTTCTCAGATTCTAAATAATGGGTAGTCTAAATTGTGTTCGACTATAATCGAAGACCAAAGTACCTGCTCTAGATTTGAAAATAAATGAAAAACCAAATAAGCTATAGATAAGTTTTATCTTAATTATAACATAAATTCAAAATAGAGATCGACGCAAGTATATGAGAAACTTGTTTCGATTCAACATTTGGGTATTATTATTATTTTGATATTCTTCTAATGGAAATTATCTTGACAGTGGAATGTAAGAGCTAACATCTCTGCGTTGACAGCTTGCTTGACTACTTTAATAGTTTCATAGGATTTCAATCATTCAATCCATCTTTTTCTCTGTAGGATAATGTCAAAAAGGTTTCTTCCAAGTTTCTGTGATGTTAATAAAGCTTATTGGTATCTTTTCCATTTTTACTATTTCTACAGGAAAGTCCTTAATGTCATTGTAATTATAATTCAGATAAAAATCTATTTTTTGCGCGAGCTAAATGATTTATTTATATGCTTTTGCGAATTAAATTTATAGTCGAACGCCAATTAGGCATCTACTTTTTTTAATAAGTAGATACCCCGAGAAGAAACATACACATGTCGAAAAACAAGAGCTAATTATTTTTTTTTAATCATTCTCAAATATTTACACTATATATGGATGCTTTCTGAAAATGGCAGACAATACACAAATTTATTTTAGAGTATTATAATCAAAATACAAGAAATTAACTGATCATACCGGTAAAGTTGTTAAATGTCGAAAGCAAAATGTCGAAAGCAAAAAAGTCGAAAGTAAAACGTCTAAAGTGAAAATGTCGAAAATAGAAAACCCTTGTAAATCCTAGATTCAAGATTTTTTAAAGTTTGAATGAGTAAATCGTCGTAAGATACACATGCACATAGCACAAGAGTGTGGGTGAGGGCGAAATCTCTGACCAAGGCGGAGTTGGATTTTCGACATTGTGCTTTCGACATTTTTGTTTTCGACATTTTCACTTTCGACATTTGACAACCAAACCATCATACCTATTCGCTGTCGAACAGAAACCAGAAAATAATGCGTCGAATCACAGTAGAAGAAATATAAGTGTATTTATGAATATACTAAGGTTATTGTCATTGTTGAGACGTCAACATTAAGAATGGTAAAGGACACCGCGTGATATCGACACATTATCTTTCTTCGATTCTCGCTCTTACAAAAGAACGAAAGAATAAGTCATATATGATGTAAAATAATATTATTCCGTTTACTCATAGAGCAAAGAATAGAAACAACATGACAAAAAGGCCAAGTAAAGAAGAATTAGAAGGAGCGACAAACAAATTCGTAAGTGAGTCATCCAGTCTATATAGCTCATGTCATTTGATGCACTGAAAAGCCTTTCTAAGTGATTGCCTGCTATATACGTAATTTCTTTTCAAATAACATAATTCTGAACTTAACTCCTATGAAATTCGATGACTTTCAATCCCAGACTGAATTGCAGATCCAAACTGACTTAAAACGGACATGAACAAAGCAACTTATGGATTTTTAGCCGTTTGTTTGTAAACCCACTTTTCAATATATATCACTTGAATAAATATCAATATATATGCAGTTAAAGTCTCAATACTCCGCAGATTCAAGAACACCTCAACAGTGTCATCAATGAGTTATATAGGTTTGGGAATCAATGAGTACATTTTGGATCGGGTCTCTCCTAGAATCAAAATATATTATTGCTTCAAAGTTTTTACGTCCAACATCGTCATTCAGTTATATTTCCAAATTAATAAGCTGTCCAAAGCGAAAGGAAAGATCTTCTGTATTTCAAAAGTAGAGTAAAAACTTTTTTAAGAATTTAAATGTGGTAATCCTCCTAATGGTAATCTATGTTTTCTTTGGACTACAAAACAAAATACACGTGTTCACTGAAATTCGAATGAACATTCACAAAGTAAACTAATGAACTTCATCACAATGATAATTCTTCTACAGTTTGTTTCATATCATATATACTGTAAAACAATTTTAAACTTTTATTTCAGTAAAAGAAAGGTTGTATTTTCTTATTTTATTCAGTAATCGGTATTCTAATAACTTGTACTGAATTGTAAAACAAAACTTTGATAAGAATATTTTCTTGTTTAATTATGTTTTTATATCACCTGTAAAATTAGCCTCAAATGTAGAATTTTTCTGTTATCAATGACTTATGTAACAAATAAAACAAATACATTATTAATTTGTTCTCAACTTCTTCGGCATCGAAAAGAACCACACCTATTAAATAACTACAATCGTTTCATTCATCTGAGCATTCAATAGTTTCCTATAATTATTGAATTGACATAGATAAGGTATTGATCGAGGAATCTTTAGTTGTGCCTATGAGTTTAAAAAAATCTAGTATATTGTTGCTCAAAGAAACAAGAGGATAATATTTTAAGCATATGTGGAAATGGTTCGTTTGAATAAGATACTCACACAATGGATAAGATGAAAATAAAAGCTGGAAGTTCACAGAGTCAAGCGAAGCTATTTTGTCGTAGATATTGCTATCAGTTGAATTGGCTTTGGTTAGCTGCTCGAGTGATATCAGCGAGAACCGCTTATACAATGGGATGATCGATTGCATATGCTTATTGATACATAGTTAAAGATCTAGTCAAATATTGAAGAGCATCGATTAATAAGCCTATTTCGCAGTAAATCGAACCGATGTTGTGCAACTCAGCAGCTTCGAATAATCCATTTTCTTTGTTGGAAGAGATTTGTTGGTGATAGGTAAGAGCGCGAAGGGCATGATCGATGGACTTTTTCAAATTTGCGAATTTCTTGTACAATCGTGCAAGATTCTGATGACATTTCAACATTATAGATCGATCTGGCTGCTTCAAACTTTGACTGATTTGCAGAGCTTGATCATAGAGGCGAATAGCCTCCAAGAGTTGTGATGATTCAAAAAGAGAGGCGAGCATCAAAATGAGGTAAGAAATAAGTGGATAATGTTCACCAAGAGTTTTGTTGACCTTCTGTAAATATTCATCGAATAGCGCGCTAATGTTTGATGTTTGATTAATCTTTGTATAAACATGTAAGACAGACTCAAGATAAAAAATTAGCAAAGAATGGTCCAAAGGCAAGATTTCTTCACTCCAGTCCAACTGATGACGAAACAATTCGATAGCTAAAGTAAAATTCTTTGAAGCTTCATAAATATAACCAATGTGTCCCGAATAGGCATCCACCAAAACCAAAACTAGTTTTGAAGTTTTGGTTTTGAGTTTTGGTTTTGACACGGTTTTGATTTTGAGATTAGTTTTGGTTTTGAGGTTTTGGTTTTGATATGGTTTTGGTTTTGATGGTTTTGGTCTATGTCTCAAGATGCTTCGGAAAAGACTATATGTCACAGTCAAAACCAATACCAAAACCAAAAGTTCTGGCTTTGGTTTTGGTCTTGGTTTTGACTGTGACATATAGTCTTTT